GCTGTGGGCAAGTTGCCCAACGACCACATGACGCACTTCATGATGGCTCTAAGAGGCTGAGTCTTCCTTGAGAGAAGACGAAGGACACAAGTTGCTCGTGAAGAGTGCTTCATTAGCTTTCCTTGGAGGATGCTCAGAGTGAATATTGATAATACCATTGTCATTGACAGTTCACTGAAGGAGAAGCATTTGTACAGAGCATCCAGCACCAACAGTGAGATCATGCATCAAATCAGACCTAATTACTGTCTGCAGTTTTGGAACGAAGAGTTGCATGACTCAGATGAGAGAGAATTCCTCTCTAGCTACTTATTTCTCTTGTAGGGAAGCACAGGGGAAGAGGCACATAAAACATATTAGGTTAATTCTGTAGAGAAATTCTGTTGTCATATCCACTCACTTCAGCAAGAGCAGTCCAGAGAAACAGGATTTGTAGTTCTGACACCAGCAGCTGAGTTCTGTAAGTCAATACCAGACCTCTCTGTGCATACAGAATGATAGAAAAGTTTAGCTTGGAAGAACCTCTGAAAGTCCTCTCTCACGTCTCCCACTCCCCATCTCTGCACTCAAACCAGAGCATTTGAACTTATATGTCCAACTGATATGTCGACTTATATGTTTGAACAAGCTCAGGGCCTTGTCAACCTTAGCTTTGAAGTTCTGTCCCATTCCATCCTTGAAGCTATTCAAACCTGACTGGACACACTCCTGGACAAACTGCTCTGGCTGACCCTGCTCTGGGGAGAGGCAGTTAGACTAGATGATTTCCAGAGCTGCCTTCTGACCTCAACCATTCTGTGATTCACAGAATCCACAGCTTTTCTGGACAATCTGTTAACCGTGCATGTGTTGGGTATGCTCTCTTTGAATTACATCTGCAGCAAAAATACATCTGTTCTATATGACCAATGTAGCTAATTTAGTATTAGTCCTAGGAGCCACAGAATTTATAATATAAAAATTAATCTTCAACAGGAAATGTTAATAAAGGAAAAAGGAAGCAGATCAGTTCACTCCTTTTGCAACTTACAATATCACACAATTCAGCATAG